ACTATAAAAACTATTATATTAAAAAATATATGCCACGAAAATTAACAAAGATAATGATTTAAAAAGTGCGAAACAATACGGCATGCAAACCGCCGATGTTATTGTGCCAAAAGAAGAATGTAAACTACATGATCATGTATTAATTTGGCATAAATCGGGGAAAATAAAAGCCAATCGCATATTGATGTAGTCCATTGACAGAGGGCGGCATTTTTATTGCACGGTAGGAGTCTTTATTATCAGGATTGTATATAATAACTTCATCACTAGTCCTACCACCCTTTATGAGATTTCCGGAAGGAGAAGATTTAGGGCATATGGAAGCTGGTCGTTGCCAAACGTGGAAAAGTGGAATCGGAAATGGACCAACTTGAATGCCGATATGAAAAGGCAGTTGCTTGATGTCATAAAGTATATTCCATTGAAATTGTTCCAAGTCCAATGCCCAAACATCAAAATGATCTGTTTTTGCAGTATAAATATTATTGGCAATACAAAGTTTACCTTTGATGTCCAGAAGGGTAATCTTTGTTTCCACACCAAGTAACTCTTTCAACCAAGAAGGATTGGTAGGCGGATCCACAATAGACCACTTATGTTTGATTACATACTAAAAGACCATTATTGGTTGAAGATGTTTCTGCAACATCAAAATCCATCTTAATACTCCAAAAAACAAAATTTTGGACAACCAACCCAGGAGCACAAGGTGTCTGTGGACATTTTGAGGAAATAGTTATCCACTTCAGATTTTCTGGAATCAATGGATCATTGATGCCCCAGCTGATAAATTTTGTGTTGTATTCACCATTATAATTACGACGATTGCATAGAGCGACATAACTCTGTATGTTATCCATCAAACCAAAACTCACTTCGATGTTACAATAAACATGCCTATTTTGTGGGCCATACCTGAATGGTGGTGCAAATGAATGTACAGCTAAAGTAGTAGGATTAACCAGATCAAAATGAGAAGGATATTGGAGCAATACTAGATCTGTTGTTACTGGAATTATCCTGGTTGGTCCTTTGGTGCAAATGTATTCAGGCCACATTTTCATCTTCATCGATTCACTTTGATCATTCAAATCATATTTGGCGAACATAGGTATAGGCCGATTGACTTCGACAACAGGTGATTGACATACAAAAGGTATGTTGTTGGAAGAAGCGAGGAATTGATTTTTCCTAAGGGTTATTTTATGAATTGGGTCTTGAAGAATTTTGTACCAACTTCGGTTGACCAGCCAAGCATTACGTATAGATTCGACATCAATTTTGGTCAAAATTTCAACAACGATATCATGATGCAATCCATCAAATTTTTCAAGTTCATGAAAACGCGAAGCATTTGGAACGTTAGATTTTTTTGGTGAACCAAGGAGATGTGAAGTGGCCATACTTTGAGCAGTCTTTTAGGAATGCAGTTAAAAAAAAGTTGAAAATTGGCAGTCTTAGTTTGTAAAGAAGAAGTGTATTCGTAAACATTGTATATATATATATATATATTTGTAAACTAATAATTGTCCAGAGAAAAATGGGTAAATTTAATTTTATTACCTTTTAAAAATATTTAAATGTAAGAGATAATGATAGAGAGAATCAATCATGAATAGATGGGGAATCGGTTTAACGTCATAATTAACTCCATATATAGATACTTTGAAATTGTTTGAAGAGATAACAATTCATATTTAGTTTGAATTAACACGTCAATATTAGTGATAGGCTTTATTATTTGATAGGGATGGGTTGTTTGAAATAGTCCCGGAAAAATATACGATTCTCTTTAAAATAATAATTCCCATATATATCACAAGTTTAAGTCAGTGTTTATTAAAGGTAACATATATTTCTTGTCAAACTAAAATCATATGTAAACAAACGCTAGAATTCTGAACAAAAAACTGTGCGAATGAAGTTTGTGTATTTTAGTCAAGAAAAAAATGATGATGGATTTTTTTTAGGGAGAGTTATAAATTTATGTAGTAGTTAAGTGTATTTAATTCATGAAATGATTATTGCGTGTTATAGTGTGAGGGCTAGTTTGCAGAGATTAAATGGAATAGACAGTGGGTTCTGAACTAAAAAAAAGTAGTCGATGTTTTCAAGAACTTTTTTTTTTTTAGTTTTCATCTTTTATTATCACTGTAGGATAATATATGCAGTTGTGTAACAAAAGTAAAAGTAATATTATCATTTCATTATTTTATATATTTGAATTGATTTCATAAACTAAACAGATTTGGAAAACTTTAACAACTGTCAATTCAAATTCCTATGATCGATATGCGAAGTGAATTTTTTTCCCAATTTTTGGTTTATATAAAAATGATAATTAGGCATAAATTTGATGTGATGATGAAAACTTTGCAACAAACTCTATCATTATAAAACAACAGGAAAAAATTATTATAAACAAAATGGAACAACTTTTATCAATATGAAATAATTTAAAGGGATTGGGTTGTAGAATCTAAATCAAAATGTACTTCATATATAATGAACCATAATTAGAAGTTACATCATATTCAAAATACAACCATAATAATTCATAATTGTTTGTTACCCGAAGACAAAAAGCATAACATGCATAAACTAAAACTATGTTACATAGATTTCAATCACGGGTAGAAATAAGATTCATCTTCAGAACCTGAAGAATAGACAATTATGGAATTAAGAAATATATTGAGTGAGTTTATGCTGAAATAAATAAAGAAATAACAAAATAAATAAAAAGATTAATTTAAGTACTTACTCTATTAAGAAGATGAGAATGAATTCCATGGACGACCAGGAGCATGGACATCAAAGTTATTTTCATCAAAAACATCCAGCACAAACGTGGTCTCGTGCTTATAGGTAAGCAGGAATGTATTCTTCAAAGTGAAATGATGACCAATTATAAAAATAAGCCACGTGACACCACTAAAACCAGAACCATGCTCATTGGTAAACCATTCAAAATTATATTCTTCTTCTCCAAATTCAATAGTCACAACCGATGTATTAGGCATTGTAAGTACATTGATGAATTCAGCAGGCACAATCTAGACAAAAAATAAATATATACATAATTGGTACTAACTCATCTACTGATGTCAAATGAAATTCATGAGATATAATTTAATTTTTAAGTAAAACAATGATGGCAGAATGGAAACACTTACAGTGAAGTAATCAGCAGTATGAGGTTTCAATTTTAATATGCATTGAACTCCAAAAGGAGTGTATGGCTTGTATGGAACAGATTGAGTCGCATCATATCAAAAAGGCATGCATATGATATTATCAGTTCCGTTATAATAAAAATGAACTCGACACCATGGACCGATTTGAACTTTATTTGCAAATTTTAAGAGGTTATTCCCAAACATAACAATCTCACCATTTGCAGGTTCGGAAATTAATACTTCAAATTTGCCTACTGGAGTAACCGGTTTAATTTTTTTTGGGACATATCCCCTGAAGCAATCACGCAACCTAGACGTGAGAAGCTAAAATGAAAAAAAAAAAAAGGAAGAATAAAATTGGGATATTTAAATTCTGACATAACAATTAAAAAACAATATACACAAACTGATACATTAATTTAACAAGGGGTAAGATGTCTTACAAAACCAAGCAATTCGTAGTCTTTTGGAACGGTGTATGAGAACCCCAAGTGGTACGACATTTTTTTTTATTAAGATCCTGTTATATGAAAAAAAAAGCAGAGCAGCAATAATTAAAATTATATTTTGCACAATAAAAAGGGTAACATAATAGCTTACAAATTGAATATATTTTCTATATTTAAAGATTGAAAAATAACAGTAGATGATAAACTGATTAATGTGCAAAATCCATAGTAATGTATATTATATTTGTACAGAAGTAATATACTTACAACAAAGTGTATTTGTAAGGAAGATCAATAAAGTAGATGACCAAAAAAAAAAAACAAAGAAAGAAAAACGCAAATTTTATATTACCTGATCTTGAGAAAGAACACAGATTACTCCCCTTGGTTATTTTTTATCAAAACGCATGCAGGGGATTATGACAGGCAGAATGGAGGAGAAAAGAAAGAGAGAAAAGAAAGAAAGATCTAAACACCTTTGTTTGAAATCTGGAAGAAAGTGAGAATGGAGTAGGGAGAATTATTGATATATATATATATATATATTAGTTTAAAGGAAATAAGTTGATGGATTTATTGTTGGGCAGTTAAAAAATTTATCGTGTTGATAAGTCCATTTAATTACGGAAATGATGTTTTGTGTGTTGTAGATGATGTGCAGTATCAGAATTTTAATAGAATGCAAACACACTACCAAAAAAGTAGTCAACGTAATGATGTGTTTTTTTTATATTAATATTACTATACAGTTACTTCTTATTATTTAGTTGTTTAGCATGATAAAAAATACTTTTAGTAAGATTATAATTGTTTTTCAACTATTTAAGTAAGTACCTAAATTTTTGGCTGTTTACAAAGGAATTAGAAGACAATTCAAATTATGCAAAATCGACAATTTTTTGATTTCATTTTGATTTGATTATGCTATTATGATGACCTATTAATCATTGTAATATGTTTATACATTATGTGACAGTACGTGAATCTTACTAATAGGAAAACGAAGAACAATTCCTTACATGCTTATAATGATGACAATAAAAAATTTTATTTCTGACATATATCAGATGATTTGAGTATGTTTAGCTTTAATTTATTTCAAATAATCGAGAAGACTATTATAACAATTGTAATATTTAATTACAATTAATATTTAAATATTCAGATTGAATTGAATAAACTGTAATGTTTAACCTCTGTATAGAGAGAATGGATAAATATTTTATTATACGAAAAATAGTCCGTACAGAAAGACGGAACAAAAAGAGTACGAAATAAAAAACCATCAAAGAAAAAGATAATAATTTTTTTTTATTTCAAAGCATTAAGAATTATTCCCAAAGAAGTGAATAAAAGCATTGAAATCAACAGATTAGACATGCTTTTTATTAGTTGAAGTCTGATGTTCTTGATCGTCGACGTCAATCTCAACAACTTTTCGCTTTTGAATAGAACTAACAGGAGTGATAGATTCATCGTCTTGATCATATTTAGTTCCAACAGAGCTTGAACCAGTCACCTGTTTATTGGATTAATGCAAGTCAAACTACACACGTATTATAAAATGATCGAGATATTCGAAATTGCATAACATGACAAACCTTGGGGATGTTTGAGGAAACAGACTGCGAAATAGCCACATCAGATGTATCCAGATCGGTGATACTGTTATCATCTTCAATCTAAGTTTTCAATAATACCATTAAAAAATTAACTAACTGAAATGTAGTAAAAATAGTAAATACATGTTTTATATGGAATATATGCATCAACAAATTTAGGGCAAACCTCTATAGGACAAACAACATTCTCAAATTTTTTAATAAGTACGGGATCCTCAATAATTTTTGTGCATTTGTAAACCGTCGACCCCGTTTGTATGACATAATCAATCACCTCAAATTTGAATATGAGCCTCTTCCCCACAAGTTGGTAAAGTTCCTTCGGTATTTGATTGTTGGGGGTACCTAAATAAGGCAATAATAGGAAAATAATTGAAAAATTTATTAGTGCAATTCTTAACATAGCAAATTTAAATAATTCTGAGTTTATCAATACAAACCGGTGGAATAGTTTCTCTGATTTGTTTGCATGATTTATTCATTAGATGACGAATACAATCGTCAAACATCACAAAAGTGCAAGATCCCGGTGTCCCATCTTCAACATCAAGTCTCATTTTGTATCTAAGAAACATTTGAATATAAAAAAATCATAAGAGGAAATAAATATGGGTATTCTCGTAATAGAAAATTAATATAAATATTTAAACATTCATTTTTTAATTTGTATGTACCTCGGACTTGCTGTGGTTATTGGTTTAGGGCAGCCTTCGGTCCCACAACGAAACACTGTCTTTGAAGGAATTTGTGATCTCGACTTCTTAGACGATGTTTCGCCTTCAATTTTTACCACAGCAATTGGAACAGCCTCTTCCTTTACAGATTTGTGACATTTGCGGCAAACAATATAATACCATCCAAAATCCGGATCAAGAGCCTCAATAGTGGCAAAAGTGCATAGTTTGACCTTGGCTAAAAAAAACAAGAATTTATACAAATTAAACCCGTGTGTAACAAAATAGTTATATAATTAAATCCGCACTTACTATAGTTATAGTCGACAACTCTTCAATGGTGTTTTTATGCCATGTAATGACATCATCAATTGTTCCTGATTTTGGGTGAGGCTGAAGCACATCAATCTTCGCATTTTCATCAAATCTAGCAGTACAAGCGATTCTGTTTACAAACAATACATACATATAATTGGAATTGTTAATAAACTTTGAGATATGAAGAAAAAAAAGTACGTTGTACGATGACAGTGTACCTTTGCCTGAAGTTGACAATTTCTAGCAACTCTTCATTTAGATAAACATTAGTACTCCATAAGGAATTCTGAATTCTTCTAGTATCTGTTGTGAAAAAAAATATTTGTTTGAATACATAATTAAAAAAAATCATAAAATAATAAACGAAAAACAATGTCTAATTAGGTAAATACCCTCATATGCATTAATCATTGCACTGCTGATGATTACAATGACTCGGATTGATCCAGTTGCATCGATATGATTTTGGACCTTTAATGCATGATCACCCCATAGGGTGCACTTCAGAATTTCATCACTGCAACATTTAATGTAACTAATTATTGTGAGTTGAAATTGATATAGAACATGGAAAAATCAGTAGTGTAAATTATCCTTACCTCATTCATAATGTGCAATTCCATATGATGTTGATTTCGGCCTCTTGCCATTTTCATTGTCAGACCACTCGTTGTTTTGGTCTGCCCTATTACGTCTTTAAAAATAAACAACCAATAAACAAAACCGATTAAATCCACATATATTTTATCACTTTGATACATTCATGGAAAAAAATTTCATCATTTATTTAATAATACAAAACAATGCATACCTACTAATTTGGATAAATCTTTTGTGGCATTGATATAGGCGAAACTGACAAAATCAAAGCCATGGATTCCTCCAACATTGGTAGTGTCAACATACGGGCCTGGTTCGATTGTCGTACGCTCATCAAATTTAATCCGGAAAGATGTTTGCACTGCTTGAATCTCTCTCCGTTTTTTGCACATCCGAAGTTAGAGATCAGTAAAGAAGTACCTTCAATGAGCATTTCGTTGAAACGATGAAAGTGGTCACGATGGACCCCAACAACAATTCTGTCACCTTGAGTTAAGAAAAAATTGCGATAAAAATCTATTTATTTTTATTTCTCAAACAAAAACATATATGTATCTCAATATTAATTAACGGTGACAACAAAGTATAGGAGCTTACATTTGAATCCATAAGAAGCATTTCACGGCTCTCAACTCGGTCCCAATTTTTAAAATGATGGCGACCCCACAACTTTCACAACTTGACGTTAATCAGCCATCCATATCCGGTACTTCCATTCAATTCTTTGACAGAATTTATCCTCCTAGCCTGAGCCATTGTAAGAGAACAAAAGAGGGAGAGGAAAAGAATAAATTTTAATGATCTGCTATAAGAGTGTGTATTAACATGAATAGGTGAGGAGGTGCTGGGGAAACTAACTGTACGGTTTATATAGAAGGAGATTTAGCGTAAAGGACGTATTAGGGTTTATAATGTTTTGAGGCGCGAAACTAAATTTAAAATCAAATATGGGAGTATATCAATTAGTTAATTACACGGATTCAAATTTTGATTCTCAGTTAGTATCTTATATATTCTATATGATCTCTAATGAAAAGGATAAGTAGAACAATAGTTATCTAAGTGAATCATAAATGTAAATTTGGACTACATTCAGAAGGTAGTTTCATACTATATTTGAAATACTTCAAATTTGAATTGTATATCAATTACGCAATTTTGGCAATTATTTAATTAAGATGAAGGTAGTTTCATACGGTAATTATAAGTCTAATTTAATATCTTATTATCTATTCTATATGATCAGTAATATATATAAATATATATAATAAATATATAAATAACATGCGGAAGTTAGTTTCATACGCTAGTTGAAATATTTCAAATTTAAATTGTAGATCAATTACAGAATTCGCGTCAATTAATTAACTAAGATAAAGGTAGTTTCATACGCTAATTATGGATATAATTACACGAATATATATTCCCCAAATATATATTCCTCAAATACAATCCAAAAAAATCTTCTAAATGAAATTTTTAATTAAATTGGTTCCATATTATCTGGTTCTGAAATTTGAAAATTCCTAAAATTATGCATGGTGGACGCAGTTCGTTCATGGTAAGATGAATGTTTGAAGAAATGATGCATAATCATTTAGGTGTTTGAGAATTACACACATAATTTTGCAAAATGGTAGGAAGGGAGGTGGGAAGTCTCTAGCAAAGAAGAATACAACCAGCAATTGAACGAATGAATTGCTCATTGTCAGCCGGTGACCATGTCCGCCAACTATTTCCCTTCAATGGAGTTTCTAATCAACGGTGATCTTGTCCGTGATAAATTGGAAATCGTGTTCCAATGATTCCGGTGAAGCATGTGTATAATCCATTTAAAATAATCAATCAACATAGAGGATTATTTTTTTGTGGATATAAGTTGTGTATATCCAATGATGATGTCGACGGCAACTATTTCTGATGATTACATTAACTTCGCGTGTAAAATTTTCCATCACCTCAGGTTAGTCGGCCGGAGTTATTTCACTGGTTATTTGAATGATAAAATTGCGAATTATCGGTGAAAAGGTAAAACAGATGATATATGTAAAAATATCATAAATGTTTTACTATGCAAGATTACAGTTATGAGGTGTAGTTAAAGATTAGTGAAAAGTAATAAGCCAATAAAATACTGACACATAGACTACTAAAGTTTCTGAACGAATGAAAAGTGGACACGTGTTTTTGGAAATTATTAGTGATCTAATAGTGCGACATGTGTCTTGTGAGAAAAATTACCTTAATATATAGTAAGATTATGAAGCTATTACTCTTTAGTAAAGGAAAAAATTAGCGTTCATACTCAAAATTTTATGTCTATCGTCAATTCTACCCTAATAATTTTCAGTTACTCAATTTTGTCCTTATTATTTGAAATTTTTGTCAATTCCGCCTAATTGACCCAATTTCCATTAATCTTAATAGATTTCTGTTAGTTTTTAACCAAAAAATCCTGATAGTTTCAGAAAATTATAAAAATAACCGTAAAAATATAAAAATAACAAAATAGTCCCTTTTTATTCATTTTTTTCTATTTCATTTAATTTCTCTTTATTACTTTTCATAACCATCAAAATATACTATGTGATCTTTAAAGAAATAATTATTTATTTTCAAAATCTATTTTTCATGTGCAACATATGTGATTTGGGTTGAAGGGTAATTTTGTCATTTTAAAATTTTAATTTTTTATTCGTTATTTTTTGAGATTATTTTTCTTATATTTCATGACCTGTATATATTGATACTAGTATAATTATTAAATATCAATAATTAATTTACCTTTTTATTTCACAGATTATAAAAAAATGAGTAATCTGCTCAAAAGGTCCTTTACATTTGCCCAAAAATTTAATTTGGTCCTTTACATTAAAAACTCACTCATTTGGTCCCTTATATTTTTCTTTTCAACTAATTTGGTCTTTTTTATCTTTTTTAGCCCTTTACATTTGTGAGTTCTTGGGTTGACCAATTCTTTGTCAACTCAATAGGGGCATTTTTGGTAATTTATAAATATCAAAATTTTAAAATATGTTAAAAACCAAAATGTATTAAAATAATACTAAATATATTATATTAATTTATAATTTATTATTAAAAAAGAAAAAAATTTAAAATAAAAAATTTAAAAATTGAAAAATCAAAAATCAAAATCTGATTTACCCGTGGGCCACAATCAAAACTTTTTACCCTTGAATTATTCTATTTTTATCATATGGGGCCAACATCTAATTTTTTTTCTTTTCGCATATTCAGTATTTTTTTTTCTTTATACCAAAATAACTCGTGAAAAAAAAAATGAATAAGGGTAAAGAAAAAAATTAGATGTGGTCCACACGTGATAAAAACAGAGGGCTTATTTGGACAATGGTTTATTTTAGTTTTTGGTTTAGTTTTTTTTTTTTGTTTGAGTTTGAGATATGATTTAAAATGTGATTTATCATGTGGGGGCCCACATCTAATGTTTTTCTTTACCCTTATTTCTTATTATTTTTTTCTTAAGAACACTGAATAAGATGTTGGCCCTTAAGAATACTGAACATTGAATTTTTCTTAAAAACACTGAATAAGGGTAAAGAAAAAAATTGGATGTTAGCCCCACATGATAAAAACAGAATAATTCAAGGGTAAAAATTTTTGATTGGGACCGATGGGTAAAAAAAATTACCGGCCACCGGCGGTCCAGCAGTAGCAGTGGCCGGCCCGGCGGAGGTGGTCCGGTGGTTGTGGATAAAAATTGGGTAGAAAAAAAGTTTCGATTGGGGTTCACGTGTTAAAAAAAATAAATTAGATTTCGATTTTTTTTTATTTTTCAATTTTTAAAGTTTTTAATAATATTATATTTGAATTTTTAATTTTTAATTTTTTTATTTTTTAAAAATAAATTATAAATTAATATAATATATTTAGTATTATTTTAATACATTTTGGTTTTTAACATATTTTAAAAATTTTGATATTTATAAATTACGGAAAATACCCCTATTGAGTTGACAAAGAATTGGTCAACCCAAGAACTCACAAATGTAAAGGGCCAAAAAAGATAAAAAGGACCAAATTAGTTGAAAAGACAAATGTAAGGAACCAAATGAGTGAATTCTTAATGTAAAGGACCAAATTAAATTTTTAGGCAAATGTAAAGGACCTTTTAAGCAGATTACTCTAAAAAAATTAACATAAAGGAAATGAGAGGAAAAATCAACTTGAAATAAACATGAAAATTAATACTCTATCATTCTAAACAAAAATAAAAAATCTTTAAAAAAAAATTTGGAAAGACTTGCTTCCTCTAATTAATAGTTGAGTTACGAAACATAAATTTTACTTGATCTAGCCTAAAATGATTATTTTGTTCATTTTAGGATAGATCAAGTAAAATTTATGTTTAGTAACTTACCTATGAAATAGAGAAAGTTAAGGAGAAAAGACTTGTCTTTCCAAATTTTTTTTTAAAGATTTTTCATTTTTGTTTAGAATGATAAAGTTTAATTTTCATGTTTATTTCAACTTAAGATTTTCTTCCTCATTTTCTTTATGTTAAATTTTTTATAATCTATGAAATCAAACGGTAAATTAATTATTAAAATTTAATAATTATTCTAGTATCAATATATACAAGTCAGGAAATATGAGAAAAAAAATATTAAAAAAAGGTGAATAAAAAAAATTAAACGTTTAAAAATTTAAAATGACAGAATTACCTCTCAACCCAAATCACATGTGTTGCACATGAAAAATTGATTTTGAAAATAAATAATTATTTACTTAAAGATCATATAGTATATTTTGATGGTTATAAAAGTAATAAAGAGAAATAAAATGAAATAAAAAAATGAATAAAAAGGGCCTATTTTTATTTTTACATTTTTAGGATTATTTTTATAATTTTTTGAAATTATCAGGGTGTTTTTGTTAAAAACTAACGGAAATTGGGCCAATTGGGCAGAATTGACAAAAATTTTAAATAATAAGGACAAAATTAACTAACCGAATATCATTAGGGTAGAATTGACGATGGGTCCAAAGTTTTGGGTATAAACACCAATTT